TTTTTTTTTATTTTTTTTTTTTTTTTTTTTTTTTTTTTTTGCTGTTCACGTTGCGGAAGGAAAAGAGAGATTTTCGGGTTTGTTTGTTTTTTTTCAAATGGCAGAAGGAGGTGTGGAGAGAAACACAAGCTTTAAAAGCAGGGGAGAGAGAGGGGAAACACAACCTAGAAAAGAGATACCACAACTTTTGATTACAATAAAGAACCTCAAGTAACTGTCTATTTACAAGTCCACACTAGTTTTTGCATATGCAAGAGTTAGCCAGTGCTAAGCAGAGGTTCATCCCTGGAAGAGGTGGCTTGCCTTGTCCATCTAGTGCCCAGGACATGGGATAGTCCCCCGCCTCTCACCACCCTCTTTGCATGGGACACAATTTGGGAGGGGAGAGCGGTATTAATGCAACTTTCGACAGGGAGGAAGGAACCACCCTCTGCACTATTCCCAACAAGTTTTCATTTCAAACGCTAGGAAGATGGAGATCCCATGCTGAGATCTGGGCAAAGGTCTGGCCAAATGGTGGGTGAAAAGAATCAACAATGTATTTATTTCCATTTCTTTTTTGGACTACTCCAATTTCTCTTGATTTAATTTGAAAGGCAATCTCTCTCCTGCCCTCCTTCCATCTCTCAAATCTGATCCTGGCTCCAGGGGGAGTTAGGGGAGGCAGTTTCTGCACATTATCATCTTTAAGCCCTGATCCTAAAGTCTCACATTAGCCATCGGCAAATAGATTTCAAACCTGAATGCCTCCCTTTGCACTGACTGCTGTCCAAACAGTGGGGTGGCACTGGCTGATATTTATATGGCAACAGGCAGAGCTGGGGAATGTTAAATTAGTAAAGCTTGAAGCTATGTACACAGGGGCTGCATATACTCCTCTGCCGACCCTCAGAAATCAACTGAAGACAAGCACGAGGGCACCTACCATCCCAGGGCGCTTTTCTCCTGATAAACAGCATTGTCGGTCAGCTTAGCAGTCTTCTTTCTACCTAAAACTGCATGAACTAAGATGTTCCCAGGGGACGGGCGTGGGGGAGATGGGAGAGACATCTGGGCTAGCACTGGCTATAAGACATTTAAGAAACAAAAAAAAAAGGGGGGGGGGGGGGGGGGGGGAAA